GCTCCACTACCTGAAAAAGTATTAATATTAGTAGGATTTCCACATTGATATTAATTATAAGCTTCACTTGAAACTCAAACACTATGTTAATGATGATACAATGTCACTGACTCTAGAACACGTGCCCACAAAACCTCAGTCAGATTAAGCAAAGAAATCAAAGTAATATAAGTAAAAGATAATAATACATCTCAAAAATCACTAACTAAATTAATTTAAAACTTTGTATCGTCCATTATCATAATTAAAGTAAGAAAGATAACACTTCAAATGGAGAAAACAGTTTGGAATAATAAATGCAAAAAATTCCATAATTCTTAGTGAAAAAGAACTGGACTGAACACTGCAGTGGTGGGGAAAACAAGCTTTTGATACACACAAAGTACTTAAGGGAAGTACTGTAGATGGAAGATGCGTCACCCTTTGACTGGTGAAGGGGCACAAATTTAATGCTGATTGCAATAAAGACTGGTGCAATAAACATCATTACAAATTGTGGTAGGATTTTAATTCAAAAGCTTGGAACATGCTAAAACCCTCTAACCAGGCCTACTGAAAAAAACAACAAAATGTGGAAATCCTACTAATATTAATACTCTCTTTAAAATGCCGTTTATGCATGGTTAAAATGCCGTTTATGCATGGTTAAAATGCCGTTTATGCATGGTTAAAATACCGTTTATGTATGGTTATAATACCGTTTATGTATGGTTATAATACCGTTTATGTATGGTTATAATACCGTTTATGCATGGTTAAAATCCTTGAAGAAAATAGTAAAGATACGAGTGAAGGTAACAGCTTGGAACTAAAATACTGTTTGGTTGATGAGCTTGTCACTTCACAATTATTTGTTTTATAAAAGTTATTCACACACATATTTCAGCAAGTTTGTGGGAAAAGTAAATTGTATAAAGGTTAAGTACCTATATTCACGAACTTCTGACTTTAGCTTAGACTATAGATGTAACACACCTGTGTTGTTTAACAAGGGTACAGTTTCCTCCTTCTCCTGGCTCCAAATTATAAATATACAAGTATCCATCTGCAGAAGCTACCAGTACTCTTGCTATCTTCTGAATTCTAGTCCAAAATATATCCAGTAATCTCTATATGATTATTAGTTATACTAATAGTCGTAAACGCCATTCCAATTTTTAATAATATCACCGCATGGAAGAAGCATATAACAAAAAGCTGTTGTTCATTTATACTTGATTATGAAACCCAAATATTTATTTTCCCGAAATACTGACATTTTCTTTCCTCAACATAACTGAAACATTTTACTGAGAAGTAAGAATCATTACAACATATATACTGTAAATATTATTACACAATCTTAACTTCTGAAGCAAATGGCTAAGATTGTTATTGTTACACCTTGCCAATTTAATCAGTTTTGTTATAATGGTTAAATCATGGGTGTTACTGAACTTGTAAAAAAAACAAACATAATAACACGATAGTAACTTAACATACCAATATACTTGACAGTTTAGGCTTCAAAAATTAACTGAGGTTACAGTTTTCAGGTATGGAATATAACTGATTGAATACTAACAATAACAATTTTAAACTTTTGTTTTCAAACACAGCAATAAATAAAGGATGTGGTTCCAGACTTACAAAGCCAAGGCACACACATTTTTTAAACCAGAAAAAGGAAGATGAACAGTGGCGAATGACCGCCCTTGGTTGAACATGTCTGTTACTTGAGTAGGTAGATAGCTCGCTGACTGCATCAAAGCTTTCCCTACATACCCCATCCAACCTTGAGGTTCCTCCACACACCTTCTGTGAAACAAAAGCTATTTTATATATTTTTTGTTTACATAGGATATTGTAAAACAATGTACCATGACGGCTGAAACACTGTTATCAGTTATGATCTAGCACAGAAATGTGTTTTGGAATCTATAAAGATATATAACCCAAGCACTTCTAGTCAACATTAATAATAGTATTTATTTTAATTCTGAGAAAAGTGTTCAGGTTACAAAATATAACATATCACTGTTCGTTACATTTAAGGTTGATCTTATAGGCTTGAAATAATCACGAGTGTCTCTGAATGCATCTGCACGGTAAAGATATTTCACTTCTATACTTACACTTCTCTTGGATCGTCCAATTTGAATATGTGCACAGTTTCTGTATTACTCGACACACAGAGAAAATTAGAGTCTAGACTGAATGACATTGAGTATATGCTAACACATCTGAAAGAGAAAGAAACGTTAATTCACTTTGAACCACAAACCTTAACTTGTTACATACTTCAGATAGATACTCACCTCTCTACAGAACTGAGAGCTATTAATCATGCACCAAGCCTTTGAATGAATCTCCCACCCCTACACGTAATAGCAGGTACTGTACCAGTCTATGATGCAACCAGCATTAGATTAACCCCCTCTACCGTTAGGAGGGTGACTACTCCCCCTTTAACACATTATGTATACCAAAAGTTCATTCTTGACAAGTTAAGAGAGACACACCAGAAGTGGGGAGGAAGTACGAGTGGTTTTATAGAAGAGTGAGACACACCAGAAGTGGGGAGGAAGTACGAGTGGTTTTATAGAAGAGTGAGACACACCAGAAGTGGGGAGGAAGTATGAGTGGTTTTATAGAAGAGTGAGACACACCAGAAGTGGGGAGGAAGTATGAGTGGTTTTATAGAAGAGTGAGACACACCAGAAGTGGGGAGGAAGTACGAGTGGTTTTACAGAAGAGTGAGCATCCACCTGAAATGTTAACTTCAGAAACACTATTCATCTCTCCACAGAACACATAGCTACAATCATACATGGAGAAGATGGTGTAGATAAAGAAATTAAAAAGACGAGCTCCGTTTTGAAAATGTAGTGACAAAAAGGGATACTCATGGACAGTGTCACCTAGTGGGAGCATCTGCATCCTTCCCAATCAGAGAATACTCTTTGCCCAATAAAAGTGGTTATGCAGAAAGGTACTGTCAAAAGAGCCTCCTGCATGGTACTAAAGTGTTTCAAAGATGGGCAGAATTAAAGACTGTTCAATCAATCTATATATCTTAAGAGGTCAGAACACCATGTATGTGTAGTGTGTGACTAGGGCAATAGGACAAGCCACACAGTACACGATATACATCCAGATCTTAACTCCAAGAAAAATGTAACACCATCTGGCTAGTCACAACCACCAGAGGTTGCCTGTAGTACATTTCTAGGTGGACACTCCTGCCCTAATTCCAACGAATAGGTACACAGACTTGATCACATACCAATGGGAGTACAGTGATCCAAGAACGTACTCTCCACATCAACCTCCTCAGAGGCTTGGAACTGGGAAAGCAAGGAATCTCCCATTCCATTAGAAGCAAACTAGAAGAATTCACATAGTGGAGAATACAGAAGAAGTGTGTGGACTGAAAAGGAATGATCTGTCATCTGCATAAGGTCCTACATTGAGAGACTCGGCAATGGATTACAAGGAATAAGGGCAGCAGGAACTGGACAATGTGAGGGTAGGAAGGTAAACAAAGTGTTCTGTTTTTTGTTTGGAAGTAGCAACATAGTTTGGAAAGTAAAATATACAAACTGATGAAGCAATCTTGCAAAAATCCTATCTCCAACACTAGTTACGTAGTGGGTTACAATGTCTCCCGTATAACTATATTTTTTCTATAGAAGGTGCAAAAAAAAGAAATAATCAACCATTCATCTCCTTAAAGCCTCTGAGAAGATTTAAGAATGGTGACGGAGGGGGAGGGAGATAGAATTTACCACCTAATTTATAATAGTCGTAACATTGCTCACCATCAAAGTAACTCCAGTCACCATATAAAATTTGGAGAATGCTGTTGGTACATAGAATCAGGCCCATTTCTTTGAAGCTACACATACTGTAACTCTGAATTTACCACATGCATCTTTTAGTAAACATTAAGTCACTCGTAAATGAAAAATCAGATATTTTAATTATTTCTTTTTTACTAAAGATTTATTAATTTCCGAAGCTTTTACTTGAAAAGCAGTCTTAAAGCTTAGGATAAAAATATATCTTGTTACAGTTTTTATATTTCATTTGCATCTGAATAACTATCAAGTTTTTTTCTTTTGCTAAAACTTTATTTTATGTTTTCTAACTCTACCAAAATAATGAAACGAAAACTTGAAAAATAGAAAATACAATGAATAACTTTATTTATTCTCTACACACGACTGCAGTACTGATAACAAACAAAGTTTTTAGTTACAGTTTCGACTGCTAATATTTCCACTTTCAGTAGATGTACCCACTGAAGTACTAACCTCTGTATGAAAACCAATAAACCACAGCAGGATGCCATTAGTTGGTTCCTACAGAGATAAGATGATTACGAAGTACACAAGATCAAGCTTGAATAGTTTTAAATATTTTATTTCACTTAAGTGTTGTTAGGATAAAGTGAGAAGTTTATACTATTTACATTTTAGTTACTTTTGATAAAAAACATACTTAACAATACATAGAAAATATGCAAGGAATTATAGTTCCCACTGATGATCCAGACAGTTTGTACTTGAGTAGATGTTCTTTCATAAGTATCAATGATTCTCAGAAATTTGCACACATAACAAAGAATTGATGTTGCTTTCAAATACACATTTTAAAACACAACAAATATATAAGTAACTAGAACAAAATATCTCAAAACTACTATAATTTATATGGCTTTTTTGATAAGTTACATAAATTAGTAAAAATTCTATTTGAAATAACAATATAATGATCATGCAGCTAAAGGGTTTCATTCAAATGAATAATGAAGGCACCAAAACTAAACTGCTAACTGGCTTCCTATAGAAGATTCCATTCATCCTATTAGTTATAAACGTGTCCTCAGCCATGTATGGTTGATTAACAATCAATGTCAACAACAGTTAGAGATAGGGGCTTTTCATGTAAGGTTGATTAACAATCAATGTCAACAACAGTTAGATAGAGGGGCTTTTCTGGTGGGTTTGAAAGTTTGTATGTATTTTAAATGTGTGTGCGTGCAAGTTTTAGATTCTTGATTGTAATCATGTATAATTTGTATTTCTAATTGGTTGGAAAGTGAAGCAGCCTATATTTGATATTACAAAATTTTGAAGGGAAGAAGTCAGAGGTCCAAATGCACCATACGACACATAAAAATAAAGATTGATAATTTTTTTATAATGTTTTTTTTTTAAATTGAGAAGCTAAAACTCAGATGACATAAAAATTTTAATTGTAAGCTACATTTTATTGCTAATAAAGTGGTTTAATCAAACTCTGAATGTAACACTAAAAGGTTGTGACGTGTACTTCAACTCAACCACACAGAGTTAAGGAAAATAAGAACTTATGTGGAGGAGGGTGAGGACCATCTCAAGGTTTCACAAGGTGGACATAACAAGTTGTATTCAATAAGATCCAAGGAATTGAACTCGTCCATACATAAACGGTATTATAACCATGCATAAACGGTATTTTAACCATGCATAAACGGTATTTTAACCATGCATAAACGGTATTTTAACCATGCATAAACGGCATTTTAACCATGCACAAATGGTATTTTAACCATGCATAAATGGTATTTCATGTTGATAATGATCAAGTGATGGTTGAATGCATAAACGGTATTTCATGAATCGCAATCTGTAGTCATGGGATCAAAAACATGTTTACCCCTTTCAGCCATTGTGGCATTATAATGTAATGGTCAATCCCAACATTCATTGGTAAAGAGTAGCCCAAGAGTTGGCAGTGGGTGGTGTTGACTAGCTACCTTCCCGACTAACCTGTCACTTCAAAATTAGGGATAGTTGTGCCTGAATCGTAGGAGTGTTTGATCTCACTGTTAACCCGAGACAATCTTATAGTGTGTCAAGTACAGTTAACCAATCAGATTTGTGTTATGGGTGTAAATTCACACCTACATGTAAAATATACAATGAGACAATCTTATAGTGTGTCAAGTAAAACTCACCAATCAGACTTGTGTGTTATGGGTGGAAATTCATTTTCATCATCGAGAGAAAGCCCAGGCTGAGGTGGCGACCCTACACTGGATCTGGTCTCCTGGTGGTGTTCACCTGCAACCCAACTTGTTCATAAGTTTCTTTACACATGGGTACTAGAAGCCTTCATGTGAACTCAGAAAATTGTGGATGAACATTTACAAACCTTCATCTTTATGTTTTAATGTTGTAGTTTCCTTCCTGTTATGTCAAATGTCTAGTGTTATTTTTATTACACGGTGAACTAACAAACTTGTTAGTTGATAATAAAAAGGATCAAGTTTAGGTACTAAGGACAACGGAATGCAGAAGTTGAAATACTGAATGTAATGGTCACCCCGATTAGCGTTAAACCTCAATACCCTACCATAAGACCTTATAATTAAAATACAAAATTTATTTGACACATCTTACAGAACATGTGCTACTAAACATAACAGGCTGTGTAGGAATTTCAGGATAAACCACAACCATATTGATTTCTTTCCTGGTCTTACATTATATACCATGTACTTGTTCACGATATTAGGAAAACACGTAGGTTCACAAAATCAATTTAACACAAAAATATGTTTAAGGTGAATCTAATACATATTCTAATAAAACAACCGACTATATCTCTCTTGTTTACAGTAAGCTCAATAGATTCTAATAAAACAACCAACTATATCTTTCGTTTACAGTAAGCTCAATAGATTCTAATAAAACAACCAACTATATCTTTTGTTTACAGTAAGCTCAGTAGAGATTCTAATAAAACAACCAACTATATCTTTTGTTTACAGTAAGCTCAATAGAGATTCTAATAAAACAATCGACTATATCTTTTGTTTACAGTAAGCTCAATAGAGATTCTAATAAAACTACCAACTATATCTTTTGTTTACAGTAAGCTCAATAGAGATTCTAATAACACAACGGACTATATCTTTTGTTTACAGTAAGCTCAATAGAGATTCTAATAAAACAACCAACTATATCTTTTGTTTACAGTAAGCTCAATAGATTCTAATAAAACAACCAGCTATATCTTTTGTTTACAGTAAGCTCAATAGAGATTCTAATAAAACAACCAACTATATCTTTTGTTTACAATAAGCTCAATAGATTCTAATAAAACAACAAGCTATATCTTTTGTTTACAGTAAGCTCAATAGAGATTCTAATAAAACAACCAACTATATCTTTTGTTTACAGTAAGCTCAATA